AGAATGTCGCCCATAAAACATTTGTAACCGCTTTTGTAACTCACAAAGTTCATAGCTATTTAAGTTCCTAATGGAATTATCTATTGTACTCTATCCATAAAACATAGTGTATTGGACGTATTAAACTATGTTTTCTAAACAAATTACGATGACTTATCGGATTGCAGCTGTTCATACTGCAATGATCTCAAAACTATGATACACCATTGATATACTTATTGATATTTTGTAAATCTCTGATGAAATCGCAAGAAGCACTAACACGACAGACATTACACGTATTACATTAACACATTTGCCTTAATAAATGATTAGGTACAGTTTAACTACTAAGTATATAGGCATGTACACAAACACTAATACTTTCATCATTAGTAATGACTTAGTAAGACGTTTAGGTAACTTGCAATAAAATTGTTTGACATTATCCGCTACTGTTACACGCCTACGAAGCCAAATAAATGAAACATTCACCATCTTAATACATTAAGACCACCCATCCACCACCACAAAAATTACTAAGTACAGATAACCTACTGACCTTAACCCAGAGTCCATTTTCCACCCAGTTGCGATGAAACGTACTGTATGGATGTAAAAATATTATTCATCAATACATTTTCAAACAATTGGTAAGTAATCAAAACAACTCAGGCATCCATACTTCTACTTTTCCGTGTATTTGGCTAAGTTTATAACTTCGCTGTAAATGAAAACTGATACAGTTATGTTTTCAAACAATATTATTGGCGTTATGTATTGATATGGAAACTAATTTTATGGATTATTTCGCGATTTTATTGGGTAACTGATTTGAACGGTAAATTAAGACTTAATTATTGAAATTGGGCAGTGCTCATGGGCTCAGACTTTTAAAACTATATAATAACATAGCGTCGCATTAGTACCGCGTTAGTTCTTTGAGTTACCTAGGTCCAGGTATTAAATTGCGCTGTAAGATTTTATCTTATCTGTGTCGTAGCATACATGATTGGTGGATCCACTACATACACAAGTACTAGCTTCTTAGTTTTTAACTTCAATATTGACATGAGATTAACGTTATAGCGTACGTTCAAGACTAGATATTTTGATTTCAATAATATGAAAAGTGGAAACTCTACAAGCAAAAACTTTGAATAATCTTCCAATGTATTCACAAAAAAATGCGGTCATCTCATTGTGTCTGTATCGTTTGTTTAAAAAAGAATAGTATTATAATCATGATAAAGGCAAATAGTTTTACAGTTTGAATAGCTATACTATACCTCTTAGACATAAAGGCTACAGGAATGTATCTACATAGATATTAATAAATGATTATATTACTAAGATACACTTGTAACCGTATTATGTGTTATGATACGTACTAATTGCGCAAAGTAAATTAAATGCAGTATCGATTTTCTTAATACTAATTATCTCCTTTTGTGTATCTATTGCATACCCATGAAAACCGCCAATCACAAATAGATATAATATTAAAAAACGTACTCTACTTGACGCGAAATAATACACAAAATTGCTTAGCTTTGATCTCAGCAAATATTTAAATATATGTATAAGCTAAGCATAGTTAAATATCATAAACAAAATAAGTATTAAATTATTCTTTACACATTCATCCAAAATGTATATATATAATAAATGGTTATTACATTATCCGGACTACCGGTATATTGGCAGATTATATAGCATTTGATATGTATAATTTTGTATCATACGATTTTATATTGACCGAAACCTTTGTATTAGATATACTATAGTGACAAATATTCTTACATAATCATAGGCACTTGTAACTAGGACTTAATTTGATTACTTATATTATATGAATTCACAGAATCAAGTTTTCTATAAATTTATATAATTTACGATCAACTTGTTAATATTTTTATTTACATGCTCTATTGAATTCTATATATTTTTCTATGCAGTTGCATTGCACCTATTGTATCTTATATATTATACTATTAAATAAAGCTGAATGGTTTGTTTCAACGCGCTAATCTCTGGGACTACTAGTCCGAGTCCGTATTGGATAATTCTTTCAGTTGGATAGACAATTTATCCACGGGGCAATAGGCTATAACCCATCAAGCTACGATCAACAGGAGCCGGTACAACCACGCGGGAGCAGCTGCTTATATATAAAGACTTTAGGTACTTAATAAATTGATTTCAAGGATAACAACTTAGCACCTCAGACGTCTAGCTGTCGGATTACTAGCGATTCTATATTTTTAACAAAACGAATATGCAAACATTTTAACGTATTGTATAATTAATTATATCACAAAGCAAATATTGGCATCTTATATGTATACTACATCCTTACTATAATTATAACATTTTGAGTTTAATTGTAAAAAAAATATCCAAAAATAAAACCGAATATACGGAATTTTAAATGTCATGTCTGTCTGTACTGATTTTGTAATAAATATTTGTGACAAATAAAGTTGTATAAATATAAGACTTCGAAGAATTTCGTGGTTTTACATGGTGGTGATAATTTCACAAATGTATGAAAAATTAATAAATGATTATAAGATTGCAAGGCACGGACTTTTATTTATGGACGAATATTCTTTTTTCTCTGTCAGTTTTATAATCAGTGGCAATTTTTTATTATTTTAAACAATATAATTATACTATATAACTGTAAATCTAAAATTATATATATCGCTAAATACGAAGGTAGAAATCGTATTAGAATTAAGATTAAGTCTTCTATATTGATGACAGTGGTTGTACAAATGTTTTGAACATTACTGTACGACCGGTACGAATAGTTATGCAGAAAGTAAAACAATAGTCCGTTAATTTATTTGTTTCTTTATCGTGCATACGTCTTGACGAACAATACCTACAATTATCATGAGCACTGCCGACTACTGATTCCGTTAAATATTATCTAAGTTTAGAATTTCACACTTGTCATGTTTCTTTTTACGCATAATTTTATCCGATTTATCCTAATAAATATTACACTCCATTTACATAGGAACCTACTTCCAAAATACTAAATATTTATACTAAGTCTATTTAACTGAAAAGCTAATAAGGCAGTTCTTACATAACTACGTATTTTTACAGGTAAATAATTTATTATTAATATCTTAGAAATATAATGGAATCATTTATTAGTATATTATTACTATATTCATTTAACTACCTACAGGTACTTCGTATAATTTACCTTCGGAACTAACGGCCAGAATGACTAATAAATATAAACTAAGTATAAGAAGTCTATTTAAAACAATATTATTACGTTTTAGCACCTTCTGGAACATTAATTTTAGAAAATAATATTTTATTGGCAACATCTGTTTTACAAAAATCAAATTAAATATAAAATTTATGACTACCTACTATTATATTGAAGTGACCAAAACTATGTTAATAACAATGATTAATTGTTCGATTTTTTTTATTTCTCCCATTATTACCAAAATCTTTACTGTTTTTTTTTATTAAGAAGAACTTGTCTAGTTTAATAAATTATCAACGTCTAAGCGTCCTATGGAAAAGGATAACACGCTAGCCGTTATACTACCCTTCGATTTTAGTTTTACGAGCATAGCGATACATGGTAACATGTCATAGTTAAGTAGTTATAACTATTGTTACTAAATCAGTAATGGTAACTATAAAAGTTTATTAAAACGACAATCACTAGGCCTCCAAAAATAAACTAAAAGTAATTGCGTCGTGTAGAAGGGATATCTTTTGTGCAAAATTATAAGTAGGCCCCCATTTTTATTTATGGATATTTACCCATGAAGTATTGATTGTAAATGTGTTAAGCTAAATAGAAATGTTAGCGGCCTTTGTTTTGAACTTGACCAAGATCTCTCTGTCTTAAATTTTGTACCAAATATAATTATTCAAGCTATTTAATTTATTGTTTGATCCTTCAAAATAATATGTATGTTCTAATTCTAGCCGGATTTATATCAAACCGGAAATTATTTAAATGCTTCACCATTGGGAAGACATTATAGAAAAATATTGTGGTCCATTCAATTAAACTATTTAATAATAGCATTTGCAAAATTAAAATAATGTGAAAGGAATGGTTAATAAATATAAATTGTATATACTGTCATTCGCATTTTCAGCACTGCCTCATCAGTAGAGGCATTGAAATTTTCAGACAGCAGTAATTGTTTGCATAGAATTTTTATGTATTCTGTATTAAAAAATTCAACATAGCAGTTTTTCATTTAAAAAATTGCTTTGTTTAACAACAGATAAAATAACAGCAATTAATCTTATAGCAACTTTCTAAAATAGATATCTTGTGAAGAATAAAAAATGTAACATGCCAAGAGCTGGAATTAAAAGAAAAAATGTGTATTACCAATGAAAACAATATTGAGCTGTCTCAAAGTTTCTACTTTTTTTGATTATCTAGTCGCATTTTTTATTATTTCCAGCCCTCTATATAGCAGCATAAAAAGTGAAAACTACCCATGAACTTAAAAAAGCTTTGTAATGAGTATTATTACAAGGAACCCATTATGAAAATTGTGTAAAATGGAACCAATTACCTTCTTTATTATAATAACAATTCGCAATTGCAATATTCTGATGTAATAATGGTTTTAAAGTATTATTGCATAACATTATGACAACTAACTAACCTTCTAGCAAGCCTATGTTAATAAAGTATAAAATAATATGATATTTTGCAGAAATCAATGAAATTAAAAACATAATAATGTTATCATAATTTCACTACCAAAGATTACTAAAGACTTTGGTCTTTAGTGACACATTCCACATGCAATAATACAAATCAAATAAGTAACTGAATAACCAATAAAATTATCAATTAATAGCTTTTTCTCAAGAAAGAAAATAATTGGTTCCACAAAAAACTGTAGTATTTATGATTGATTTTAAAATGAACAAACTTATAAGGCAAACGAAAGAATAAATAACCTGCAAACAGACAATATGTGATTATTATAAAATCTTTAAAAGTAGTGTTATACTTTACCCCGTCCATGTTTGTAAAACCTTTTTTTGTAACGTTTAGAGAGAAAATATTTAATAACTAAAATAAGAATAATGAAAGATAATATGTACAGGAGACTTAGCATTCCGATGTCCAAATTGGAGAATGGGACCGAAGGTGCTGCAGATGACCTTGCACGTCGCATGGATTGGATACTTGCAGCACCGTAAACATTTTGGAGGTACTGGTATACAGCTGGTAGATTCCAGGCACCTCTGGCTAGTCTGCATTCAGCACACCTGGCGACACTTGGAAACTGGATCTTTGGATGCTCAGGATCTTCAGTGGTATCTCCTGCTAACCTAAGATTTACTTCATTATGTGCTATCCATAGCCAAAGTACCGCTTTGTCATTTTCCTTCACATCAAATATTCTATTTCTTGCTGCCATTGCTTGGAAATGTCCAGCACATTCTGTGCATCCGAAAAAGTTCTTCACATAACCATGCATAGCTTTTAAAACTTTTGGACTTTCTGTACCAGGTTTTTGAGCAGCATTTACAGTTAGAGTATGAAATAGTGTCCAGAGTCCACAAGTGTATCCACGGAATTTAGGCTGGCTACCTTTGCACCTTACATATTCTAAATTGGTTATATATACAGGTGCATGTATTATTTCCAAATTTTTAACTACCTCATACACTTCGCCACCTTCCCAACTATTCTTTGATGCAAGAGTAGTACGTAATTCTGTGATATACTCTTTAAGATTTGCTCTAAAAGGAAATGAGACCATGATTACATCTAGATAGTCTAAGAGCGCTTGCAGAGCCTCGCCAGTCAATGTCTTAAATCTTGTGATTTCAGTATGTAAACTTGTTTTAATAGTTTTCTCCAAGTCACTATAATATACAAGATCAGTATTAATAGTCACAGGTTTCTCATTGGAGTGGTCATTAGTGGGTATTTCTTGACTATCATGATCACGCACAGGAAAAGCATAGTTTTTAGATTTTAAGAAAGAATTAATTGCTTTTAGTAATCCCAACTTACTGTACTCTTTGGGCACAAGAGTAGTAGACTCTAAAGTAGAGCTAATAGCTATAAGTCCAGGAAACTGTTTGATGTTCGCCAGCTCTGCAATTTCACTAGCTTCATTCACCCTTTTTACTTTAACATTAGGGTAATCATTTAAGTCTAAAGCTAGTTCAGACCCTAATGTGGAATTATCATTTTCCAATACAAGAAATGTATATTGAACATTGGCAGGTACATTCTTAACAGCAGATGCATAGTCTTTGAAGGATTCAATAACAAAGGAAGGTGCAAATTTTAAGTTTCCAATGGTTTGATCATTTTGCATTTTTGTGATTATTTGAGCTTTAAGTTTTTCAAGTGTGTCAGTTAACTGTATCTTATCACCAACATTACCATTTCCTTTGACATAATTCTCATGCAAATAGCGTAACGATGGATAAGCCATTACTTCGAACTGTCTACAAATTTCATTGTTTTCTTCCACAGAACAGTCAATAACAGCTAACTTTATAATATTTCTCCAATTCATCATTTCAGATGCCATGGTTTTAAATCTGGGAGCAAATGCTCGACAGTGTCCACAATAGCTATTGTAAAATTGAGCCACAATTGCATGATTCTGCCCATAAATTTTCCTTGCAAAATTACGATTTGTTAATATGTCAACATGATCAGACTTACTATAAAGTCCTTGTTGATCTACATCACCATCTTCCACAATAACTGCACTATTCACTAATGCAATGAATATAGCATTGAATAGAACTACTGCATAGCCCAGGTTCATTTTGAATGCTCTCGATAACGGGGAGCAAAGCACGTCACGTTACAATTATTTAGTTTGCAGGTAGTAATCGAAACACGGCTTTCGCCGGCGACTCCGGAGTTCAAACTAAAGAAAACTATTGTAACACCAACATATCATGATAATTCAAACGCTAAAACTTGGATACGTCATTTCTTCTGCACGATTCCTCGCGTTGTTTCTATTCAACCAAAAGAGTTATAAGACAAAAACTAACGACCTACGAACCGTCCGAACAAAACTCAACTGTCAGCCGTCAGAGTCAGAGTGTCAGGTCAGTCAGGTGAGTAAGTGACAATGGCAGTTAGTGTCATTGTGTCATTTTACCACAGACCTACTATAATATGGACCAGAAGTAATGATCTATAGCTTATATGCTTAAACAAATATATATCAAATCGATATAGAAATATGAAACCACACTTTGTCTCTTTTTAATCAATGAGTAACCTCATTTGAAGAAAGAGACGTCATGTTGTTTGTTTATTCTCTGCCTGGCAACATTTCTACATTTCTGACAAGGTACCTACCTCGCGTGCCAGCCGCCATCTTTAGGCCGTATAGTTTTGTAGTACGTCAGGTGTCAAGCGAACAACAACAATAGATTTGGATTGCGATTTTTAACAATAAAAACGCTCCTAACTTAATTGTTTTGTGCTGTGAGTGTCTAGTGGTGCATATTTAATATGTCTACTTGTTCAATAATTCAGTGTGGGGCAAGGAAAAACCCCGATCAACCTCATTTGACTATGCACAGGTTAGTAGCCGTATTTTAAGAAAAAACTTTATCATACTATTCGTTTTCTTGTTTATCTAGCCTTGTTTTATATATAGAATAAAAGCCCCCAAATGTACATTAAATTTGTTTATGATAACTAACTTCATTTGCTAAATTTGTTTTATGTTTTGTTTACAATACAAATGACAATTTGTACCCCTCAGATCTCACTTACTTCCTCACTATTGAGTGATGTATTTTATTTAATAACATATCTGAAGGGTCTGAAGAGACCATTTTGAAAATAAATCTTACAGAATAGAAATAAAAATAGGGATAGTACCAAAACATAATAATATCAATTCTTCATACAGTAGGTACTTTCATTTAGTTCAGTCTATGATTTGTACCACTAAATGAAATAATTTTTATGTTTTTTTTTATTTGCACAGATTCCCTAAAAATGAAGTGCTGCGTCAGAAGTGGCTTGAAGTCAGTGGGTCATTACACTTTGTAGTATCATCCTTCAATAGAACCCTTGATGTTATAAGGCTGCGTGATGATGCAGTACCGTCAATCCACCTTGTTGTAAGTGAAATAATCAACATTATATTGTCCTAAAACACAAAGGGCAATTGTCACTGAAGAACACATGTATGGTTTTAGCCAGTAAAAGTCTTTTGTGCTCTCCCGTTCTACCCAGTGCGCGAGAAGTCATTCGATGATTTGTACCTTAAAAAAAAACATCCAAAGTACCAGAAGATTTTTAATGTATAAAACTCTGCTATCGATATCGATACTTTTTGGTTTTGACTATAGTACTTCCCTAGCAATGGCAGCCATTTTTAGGCCTCGGTTTCTAGTAGGTATGCACGCGTATTTTGTAGGTATTTCTGGTCCATATTATAGTAGGTCTGTGCATTTTACTAATATTTAAATAAAATGTCAGTGAACGAAACTATGTGCAGTGCGTACACTGAGTACGTTACTAAAAGTAAACTTTAATCCAAAGGGTGTAAAACAGTGTGAGTTTTTGTTACACGCACATGAGACAGCCTGTGCTCTAATGTATTTCTGTCATTCCCCAATGGGGTTGAACGATGAAAGCGAAGACTAGCGAAAACCAGAGGCCTTAGTACGAGTTTGTTTTACGTGTTGTACGTTTAAAGTAATCGTAATGAGTACGCATTCGGTGCTCAGATTGGTTGGTTCATTGGTGCCGAGCAATCAGAGTGCCGAATACGTACTCGTTTCGAATACTTTAAACGTACAACACACTCGTACTAACGTCTCAGATGGCGCCAGCATACTGGCAGCGGCTGGCATCCATTCCTGTGATCTTAATATTAAAGGTTGCCTTACCTAATGTTGGACATCCAGTGCTTCGCTCGGCGGTACATGATTTTTTTTGACGGACCGCTGTCTTTTCCCTTCCACCGGGGGGAGAAGCGAGGAGTGGTAGACTCACAACGAAAGAACTTAGCTGTAGAATATAAATTGGAAATGAATAATTCAAAACTCAAATTCTGCCAGAAGTCATTATTTCACGCGGACGAAGTTGAGAGCAAAAGCTAGTAGGTATGATAATAGATAAGTGAAGGTTTTTATATCTATATCATTTTTATCATATTTAAGGTGTATTTAAGCATCAATTATTATTGAGCAGATAACATAGGATTTTAAAGATTTATTGCCACGGTACAAAACCTCCCTTGATGGTTTTTGTTCCACCTTTGATCGATGCGGGAGGTCGTATCAGACTTAACAGACTAAAAATTTTGAGTTGACCGCTAAACACTTGTAAGGAATTTCTTAGTAACAGCACACTGGAGTCTAGTATTTGTGCGAGCAGACGTGAATCCATTTTACTGCACCAAATCAAGATAAATATGATTCTTTGAAAACAAAAAAAAATATATATAATATTGTATACCATATTAAATTGCAAACCAAAAAAGTAACAAACCTTATACTTAAATCTATGGGTAGAATGGTGGTTTTATTGCTGATAGCAATAATCTACTAAATACATAATTGCATTATTATAAATATGGTATAAAATAGGGAAATCATGCTTAGACAAATCACAAATAAAACAAAATTAATCATATTAGATCGATCTCAGACTGAAACATGTATCTTCAAAATACGGTGAGCAAACTATGCTAGTACGTTTAGGAGTCCAAGAAAGAAGATTTGCACAAGCTCGAATCTAGAAATCCCGAGTCATTGCATATTTTGGAAATTGGAAAAAAAATTATAATGAGAATAAAAGTCAGGAAGAAGATGTCGATATTTATTTCTTTGATAAACCTCTCAGTTTGTAGTAAAAGTAGGTAACATTGGAATGTTACCTACTTTTTACTACAATTATGTAGGTATTTTCGGCATAAGTTGACCTGCAAATATTTAAGAATAAAGTTAAAGAATAATGGGTAGTATTTAAACGAATATCAAAAAATATCCTTTTTCTTTGCAATAAGATTCCGAATTCCCATCAAATTACTGATTGCACAGCAAAATATTTAACTCAAAATATTACTAAACACACTACAATTTATTTTCGCAGCGTACAACGATTTTGCCTAAAGCAAAAGCTTTCATTAATGCACAGCTAATAATCTTAATGCACATTATATAGGTAAACTCTTTTTCTTTTAAATATAGCTTCTGTTTTTAAATTATTTACAGTTTTTCTAAATAAAGCAGCATTTTAAATACACTTATTTTATTTAAACTAATATTTTTAATATAAACGGCTAAATGGTATGAAAAGATTTGAAAAGCAGTTAGTGATATAACGCTCGGCGGCCGCTACTGCGGCACCGCTCGCTACGTTCGCTCGCCTCGCGCCTTGTGAGGGTCGCAGTTCTAACCTAACCTAACCAAATGTTTCGGGGTGCCCAAAATTGCTGTGCAGTCAGTATTTATGCTATGTATGTAGTATTTTTATACAAAAACAAAAATAACCGTATTGCATTATAAGGAAAAAAGGATTGTCGTATTGATGTATAATTTCGAATTATCTGCAGTTTGAGTTTAGTAGAACATTTCATTTGTTTGTAATGAAGTAAGTTACTAGATGTAAAAAAGAATATAAATGATGAGTATGTATTGATAGGCGATTATTTATTTGATATACAATTTATAATATCCCAAGAATAATGAAGAATAAAGTTATAAGATATAGTGAATGTAAAGTTCGATATCAATAATTAATTATCTTATAAGAATACAGAATGCTTAATATACGTTTGAAATAATAGACTAAAATTATAAATTACAATTTTGAAAATTGTACTGAATGAGATCTTATACGTTATTGTACTAAATTAGTAATGCCACCATTGTCATGGGAACACTCATAGACCGACTATATTTTTTAGTTTTTGACTAATTTATTTCATTATAAGTTAATAATAAGACAAAATAATAGGTTCTCACAAATGGAAAATACTTTTATAATAATTACTGGTATGATTGGAAATCTTTTCCCTTTGGCAGCAAGGAACGCCTGCTTGTTGGTGTTAAATACTCTAAGTTAGTCTCAAAGTGGCGCTAGCATCGATGGTCACTAGCACTATAAATTTAATTTTTAACATACAAAATAACGCCCGGTGCTGTACCAAAATGTTATGAACTTGAAGTACATCATACTACCTATAATAAGAAAATTCATCAGCTTTGGTTGAAATTTAACATTTGGACAATTCGTTCATGATTATGTTGGAATCACTTGGAATAAGATTGAAAAAACAAGTTAAAGCGACTTTTAACTCGACGTAACCTTCTTGGAAGGTGATAACTACAATGATGTTTTACGAAAATAGTCCTGAGTTCTTTAGTTCCAAAGTTTCTGAGTGGAATATCTCAGAAATCATTTCTGATTTTGGACAAAAATCTCGAACTAACCACAACAATATAAATGAATAAAATACTACTGACTTTATTTAAGTTATTTTAGTTTTTATTAGTGTCAAGTTGTACACCAACCATACACCAACAAACATTTAATAGTAATATTATTTAAACTCAAAGTCTGTTCCTAGCACTGCTACTGCTTTTCACATCACTATTACCTGTTTGACATTTCTGTTTGACCGTAGACAGAGAAAAGAGGTAGACATGCTCTTTGAATAATAATAATAATTGCAAGGGTGAGATGACAGATTAGCAAAATGTGTATGTGTGAGCAGGACATACCATAAATTTTTTGTCTCTATTTGCGTATCGGTTTTTTGTTGTTTGGCATCACTGGTCATTGGTGGCAAACAAACTGTGGTGTCAAGATATTTTCGTTGTTAAAAACTGTGAAACGCATACTTTGTGTAATTTGTGACTTTAATGATATTTCAGAAGGTAATATTTAGTGTTTAGTGATGGTGAATTGCGGTATTAATGGCTGTAAAAGTCGTTGTGAACGAAATCAATCAAACATAACCTTTCATCGGTAAGTAGCATTTTTTACCTATTACAGCCAGTAAATCAAAGAAATATTGTACTCAAGAAAATTTTGTGTCAATATTAAGCGAAATTTATTGATAATTTCATCTAAAAATACAATAAATTCTCTGTCTACCTATATTCTCTGTCTACGTGTCGAACTATCGCTATCTCATACTGCATACGCTGAGGACTTGTCTACGTATATTCTCTGTCTACGTGTTTGACGTTCAGACCTACTATAATATGGACCAGAAATACCTACTAAATACGCGTGCATACCTACTAGAAACCGAGGCCTAAAAATGGCTGCCATTGCTAGGGAAGTACTGGAGTCAAAACTAAAAAGTATCGATATCGATAGCAGAGTTTTATACATTAAAAATCTTCTGGTAGGTATTTTGGATTTTTTTTTAAGGTACAAATCATCGAATGCCTTCAAGCCACTTCTGACGCAGCACTTCATTTTTAGGGAATCTGTGCAAATAAAAAAAACATAAAAATTATTTCAGTTTTGTACATTTAGTGGTACAAATCATAGACTGAACTAAATAAAAGTACCTACTGTATGAAGAATTGATATTATTATGTTTAGGTACTATCCCTATTTTTATTTCTATTCTGTAAGATTTATTTTCAAAATGGAGACCATTTTAGACCCTTTATTTAACATATCGATAAGAAACTAACATATTTTTAGTTTGTATGTTATGGAGTCCAGTAGAGTAGAGTATCAAAATAAAGGGTGAAAATAAATCTTACAGAATAGAAATAAAAATAGGGATAGTACCAAAACATAATAATATCAATTCTTCATACAGTAGGTACTTTCATTTAGTTCAGTCTATGATTTGTACCACTAAATGTACAAAACTGAAATAATTTTTATGTTTTTTTTATTTACACAGATTCCCTAAAAATGAAGTGCTGGCATTAAGTCATTCGATGATTTGTACCTTAAAAAAATCCAAAGTACCAGAAGATTTTTAATGTATAAAACTCTGCTATCGATATCGATACTTTTTGGTTTTGACTACAGTACTTCCCTAGCAATGGCAGCCATTTTTAGGCCTCGGTTTCTAGTAGGTATGCACGCGTATTTTGTAGGTATTTCTGGTCCATATTATAGTAGGTCTGTGGTCCATATTATAGTAGGTCTGTGGTTTGACGGTACTCATCGATCGAGTGTTTGACATTGACAAGTGTTGGCTCTTTGGCCATCACAACACCAACTGCTGCGTTGATCGCGCTCCTGATTATTATCAACATCTGGAGATTTTGGTAAGTCAATACTGTGCTGAAAATAATCTTATTGTGGCCTTATTTGTTTTACAGTTTTCTCTTTATACTGTTTGTATTTCTCGTATTCATAGTTTGATCGGGTTTACTTGCAGTACTTAGTACTCACTGCTGAATTTCACTTGTAAAAATAAAGTTTTTGTCCTTCATTCCATAAATTGTTCAGATATCGGATTTTAAATTACTGTATCATTTATTAATCGCTACCTCAAGGTTTTGTCTGGGGTCAGAGGGGTGGTGTGGGGGACGCAAATTGGGGCGCGTCGGCTTCTACTGAGCATGCCTGAAATTTAGGCACCAAGTTATTGATTGCCTTTACTGCGCATGTTTGGAGCCTAGACAAAGCTAGTCTTTTAGTACTTTAGTCGCCGCACCCAGTTTTGTTGCGGCATTTGTGCATTGCAGATGTCACAATGTCTTTTGGTACAGTGAAGTTCTTTGATTAAATTATTTCTTAGTTGGGTGCAATATTATGCAATTGTGTTACATTTGTGATTAAATGTGTAAAACATGTGATTACATTGGTGAATTTTATACTTTGCAGCTATGTCATCTCGCCAATTCCGCAAGGCGAACGGGCAAGCCAACTTGCCCCCGCCTCCGGAAGATTCAGATGAAGATTACCAGCCTTTGTATGCCCGTCGTCCAACCAGTTCTCAATATGCAGGGGTAAGTAGATCTTGGTTGGAATGCATTGTGCTACTGTGCTGTACCATATTCTTGTAATGTATACATATTTAGGTATTTTGTTATAATCAATTTGATGAAACTAACTGCGATATTGATACAAAACTGCTAAGTCAAAATGATAGCTGTGTGGTTTTTGCTGCAACCGTTTAAGTCGAACTTGTCATCAATTGCGATTTATGTAACTTTTTAATCGCTCTTTTGTTTTGCATTGCACTTGTTATTTAAGTTATGCATCTGTGAGTATTTGCAAATAAGTGTATTACATTATAACTAAATCTTATCTGGTAGGGTTTGTATCAATTGTTAGGTGCAACATTGTTTGTGTGCAATCATTGAGGGATTGCAGCAAATTGTTGTGTCCGCTGCCGGATGCTGACTTGTCTCAGCGGATATGTGCAATTGAGGATATTAATACTTAACTAAGTACTTGCATCCTGAAAAGGGAATAGAAGAAAAAAAGGATATTAGAAGGCAATGTAGCTCATATTTTTGAACTGTGTAACATTAAAAATCATAGGTTAATCAAAATAGCGGCTCTTAAAAGGGTGGAAGGGGGTGAGGTGACGCCGCTTTGTCTGCAATGCGGCGCAACTCGCACTTGCGCAGTAACAATACTGCACCGCGAGGTCATCTGGCCGACAGCTGCCCCTCCCTCAAAGCGCAGTTATAAAGAACAAAGCAAATCAATTTAAAAAAAATGCAAATTTTTAATTTCGTTAATGTTGATAAGTAATAAACTTATCAACTTTTAAACTGCAGAGCTGAAGCAGTTAACTATATTAATGGTCAGTTAAAATTTTGCAAAAAATTTTAAATGTCTTACCCTGATTATCTTTTATTTCGTTAATAAAATAAATAAATATCACAAGTTGTAACAGAATTCTAACATTACAATAATTTCAAGATCAAGTTATCACACATTTTTGAATGTTACTCTCATTATGTTTCAATAATAAATTGTTTAACAATGTTATTGGTACACATAAGTGTAACCGGTGAGAAGCGGTCTCACCCTAAACGAACTTAACTGATCCTGCCAGCAGCAGCTGCCATAGTCGTATTTGGTTTAGCCGGACTGATTAAAATATTGCACAGCAGGCATCGGATACACACCGTTAAGGGTTTTTGTAGCAACAGCTGCAACATTTATCTCAGAGACTGAATTTTATAACTGTTTCATTGCACTTTATATAATGAACAGTTTCACTACTAGAGAATTTCCCAAAATATTAATAAGAGTGTAACTTATGCAACGGTAACATTAGTACTGTTATTCCTGTTAAAAAAGGAACATATTAAAGCTTTTTAGTCATTGAGATATTCTTTCTATAAAGAGATCCAAACACGTGTTCAGACGATATTGTGTAGGACCTCCATTTAAAATTTAAGCAAAGGGGCCGTCGAGGTCACTCTATGCTATTGATTGAATCCATTTGGCAGTTTAAAAAAAAAATGTATTGTACAATTCGTACATGAACCGGCTTGCGATAAAGTACACAGCTGCGACTGAATAATTAAATAATTTGACCCTTATGTATTATGCATTATGCATTATGGCATTATATGAGCTCTAAATTGTAACGGAAGCCGGAGAATCGACAATGCTAGATCGCCAGCTCTATCGAATTTTAAATATTTATATAAAAACTGTTTTGTTATAGTTGGCGTTAAGCTCCCACTCTGAGTCCGACCGTAGCTCACGCAGCGAAGAGGAATTGCAAGATAGGGCACAAGCTCTGCCCGTCCAAAAGAAGAACATCAAGAAAAAGGGAGGCGGCGGCGGCGGCGGTGGCGGCGCCAGCGGCAGTGGCGGCGGTGGCAGTGGCGGTGGCGGTGGCAAGAGGCGCGGTCGCAGGACACCGGGCGCTGTAATATCTGCATTATACATATTATATATTTTTATACAATTTTAAAGTCACAAACTAAATAATTTATTTTTTTATTTAGGTGGATGATGTTGACCGCTCCGTTCAAGAAGTGAACGCTATGCTGGGCTCCTCATCTGGCCCTCCGCCACCTCCGGCTGGAGATGCCGCAGAGCCTAAGGTTAACCATGCCTTGCAGGTGCTAACCGTCGATGCTCGCCACTTGAATGTCACCAATGAGGTCAGGCGGCTGTTTGGGCCTGACGAGAGCGAGCTTAATAAACGGTAATTTACTGCTCACTTTTTTTTGGTTTAGTACTGCTCACATCTAAAAAGCACATTAGAATAATTTTATAATTATTTCAATTTCCAGTGGCCGTATACATTCCAGTCGCGCCTTTATGCTTCGTCGTGTTTTGGTTCACCCCAACAAAGACACTCAGATTTATGAGTTCAACAACATTGGTAAGTGAAAAGAATATTAATAGTTATGAGTAGTAATTGTTTATTGGATTGTTGGTACTCAGATATGTATACATCTTAAATCGGGTTATTTGGTATTACAGGTCTATCCATGAGTAAATATAAGTGTATAAACAAACGAATGTACTTCGTTTTCAATCATAGTGAAACGTATCAAAAGATGCATCGCGCTTATCTCGCGAGATATTCACGTGCTGAAACATCTGAACTTCTGATGGGCCTACAAGAAGCTCGACGTAATATGCACGTTGAAGCCTTGTTGGAGGTAAGAACTATATGTTAATGTTTTATTGAAATATGTGGAATATTTTCTGTACCTGTTATTAATCTGTACCTTGTTAACCATTTTCAGATAGCCGACCGTTTATTCCGCATGGAAGAAAATGGTGTTGCGAACGAAATCGTGGAGAACCTTGTACTGTTTCTCCAATATGTGGCTCACCCACTGTTTATTCTCTCCAACGTATGTAAAAAAATATATTGTTTTTATTTCATTCGTTTCTTTTACAAACATGCATTGTTCTGGGTGTAAAATAATCTATTTGAAATGTTTGCAGAACAATGTCCGTCTGGATTATAAGTATATGGAAAACAGGCCATTCCATGTGGCCATGTTGAAGTACGTGTACTTGCTTTCCAACAAGGCATGCCACCGCACTGCGCTAGAGATAGCAAAAATGATGCTCCTGCTGGACCCTAATGATCCGTTGGCACTGTTAGCTTTGATTGATATCCTTGCTCTGCGCGCGAGGGAGCATGAATGGCTGATTGAAGCAATCCGCTACTTCGATCACCAGCGAGAGGCCAAGCTCTTGTTTAACATCAAGTACTCCAATGCCTTGGCTCATTTCCACGTCGCCATTAAGAGAAGGGGTAAGCAAAGCATTAATCATCCAAAAATACTTCATTACAAGGAAATAACGTTGCTCTTAATATTAATAATTTTTCAGGTGACTTTACGGAGGCAGATAAGCTTATGAAAGAGGCTATCTTAGCTCACCCCCAGGTATTCGTGCATATCATGGCATGCTGCGGTGTTTCCAACACTCCCATTCTCAACCACGCTATATTCAAGCGTGATTTGCAAAACCCGTAAGTATTTTGTTATGTATATACCTACGTAAGTAGTTTCTAGTTACGTATTAATAAAATAATAATAATAGCCAATTGGACAACTGCATGTTTGATAATTGATACAATTATATTTAATGTCACGAATGCATGTATTGACAAATAATCGCTTTCAGATGGACTCCAGGAGTGGAGGAACTGTTTCTGATATATGCCAAGATGACCGCTCCACGTTGGAATGAACCGCCCGTAATGGGTTGGATCACAAAAAATGCTGGGGAGCTCTGCAAGAGCTATGATGAAGATACTAATGTCCGGGTAAGATATATCAATTTATTTCAATGTTTTCTCATTTATTCTGTAAAGAATGTATTAAATATGAATTTGTGTAAACATTTCAGGAGACTGCTAACGATTGGGCCGTTAGCCGCCATGGCTTGTTCCAGGTGTGGCCTCCAGAATATCTGCGCCATATCTCGGTGCTTTCCTGCATGTCCAAGCTTATCATTGACATGGTAATTTTCATATTCTATCTTAAATGCCTAAACGTAATCTGATTAAAATGAAAACGGTGTCGTTCTGAGGTTTTAATACGAGTTTGTTTTAATATTGTGTTCGGAGCTCTGATTGGCCGGCTCCGGGGAACCAACCAATCAGAAAGCGAAACGCGTACAGAGTGCCAAGCAGGAATAACTATTGCATTCGTATCGTAACAGTATCGGGCAAGTTCTGATTGGTTGGTTCATTTGAGCCGGCCAATTAGAGCGTCGAACGCGCTCGATACTATTACGTTACGAATGCGATAGTTATTCGTACTTGGCACTCTGGTACTAGTTTCGATAACTTTAAACGTAAAATAAACTGGTACTAAGGCCCCGGATTAAAAGTGAAATTACTTGCCTATTGGTAGTTGGTAAGTATATGTAAATATAAGTGTTTATGTTTGCAGCCGGTGAACTCGTTCTTCCGGCCCACCTGTGGCTGGGACCCTGTCTTCGACAAGTCGGTGAATCGCTACGGCTACTCGTACAAGGTCGACCCGCCCCGCAACCTGGGCATGGGCGGCTCACCTGTTTACAGGTTCTTCCACTCAATGATCCCGTCTTATTTCGAACCTCCGGTTGACGAATGAGTTCACTATTTTTAGTTGAAAATATTTTTCATTTACTTACTGTATGTATTGGTGTTATAGAAAAAAAAATGAAATCTACCACTGTTGTCATGGTTTATATTCCTCAGTAATATTTATTTGTTTTATTTTATTTTATAAAAATTTTTGTTTTGTTTTATAAGTTTATTAGTTACCTTATATGTATATGGGGTGTAAGGGTTTGGAAGTAAATGTTAGGCACAAAAAGTAAGTCTAATTCCTAGAAAAAAAAACAAGTAATATACCTACCTGCTGTTTTGTACACAGTTTTTAAATTGGCATAATTGTTTCAAGGTGTCTACGGACTAGCTCGATTGCAGCGGTTCACGCAACCGTGCAAGAAAATAATTTAGATTTTTGACAGTTGAATCCAGGTCTGTAACAATGTTATCGCGGTAACATGCTTCGGTAAATAATAATACATAGCTTCATAATATATATTATCATTCAGAGAAAATGTATCATTTCTAAATTATACTATGAAGTAAATATCACTGTTTCTGGCGAAATATGCTTCATACCGGTGTTTGAAAGCCTCCCTACTGGTTTTTGGTTCTGTTTTTAGTTTCTAACTGTAGAATCTAATTTTATTTATTAATATTTTTTTAACACTGTCTGAATCACTTTTCATTTAATTTTGTATCTCGACAAAAGTAGATAAAAATAAGTTTCTATGCAATATTTTAATATTTGACCTTATTGGCTTTTATTTTTCATGAAGCTGTTGAGCAGGCATTAATTAATTAATTTTAATGTAAAATGATTAAAAATTTAAATTTTTGTATTGGTTCACATGCAGAACTAAAAGGAAGTAGGTTGAATTTCTACGCACTGTTCGCGCACAACCATTACCTTATTCCAATAGTCCCCAACTTATAGGTGCTAATACATTTTGTACATAGAAATAGTGGCTTCAACTTGGTACAAAAATTGGCTCATAATCGCACCATTATCGATTTAAAATAAAATTGTAAATATAGAAATAGGTACAAATACAGCACAAAAAGATACAATAAATATGCTTTATGTATGTTTTTTATTTTATTTTTATTAGACTCACTGGCCAACCGACTCCTAAAAAAGCGCTTAATAGTTCCATATAATGTAACTGTAAGTATAGGAACGTTTCTATGGTATTCGAGATCAGTGTTGGGGTTCTTACGGATCAGATTTCGAGTACGTCAATCTTGCTCTCCGCGGCTACGTAAGTTTTATTTCTATGATACAAACACTAACATTAGTCTATATGGTACAACTAACTTAAAGCGCTTTTTGTATGTGTTGTTTGATGTGATATTGTTTATCTGCTAACAAATTGAAAGTAATTATTCTGCAAAAATTAACTTTCTTTCTTTAAATATACATGGTCAATTGGTCATCCAAAACCGACCGATCAATCTGTAGATCAACTGGTTGCGACAGTTTTTACTTGTATCTACTATCTATCTAGACCGCAAAAAACGGTAGCATTGAAAATAACAGTCATAGGAAACAGTTTTGTTTGCAGATATACAATACGCGTTTAGTAAAACGTTCCACATGGTAGTTGGTATGGATATGTATGTAACATTGCAGGTACTTACTTGGAAATACCTTTTTGTTCACAGCAGTGACATACGTAACGACCATTTCATACTGTTGTCGCAAATCGCCATGCATCCTGCTTGCTTCCCGTACATCAATTTCGTTCATACTGAACCGTTCTACGTGCCTGCCGCCAGGTATGCTGCTCCGGATTACGCCTTCGTCCCACATCACGAGTTCGTGAACCCGGCGTTCCTGCAGGATTATCCTCCTGAATTTGCTCCTGAGTTTTTGCCTCATGACGCATACGAGCGCCCCAACGCTAACGACCGCGATGCTCAGCGCGCCCAAGATCCGATGCAGCCGCAGGGCATTCCACCAGCACAGCTGCAGCCACCCGTCCCATACGTGGGATTCGATATGCCGTACTTCGAGATCCCAGGGCCGCTTCTCGATGCGCCTCTCCCTGGGCCTCAGTTTTGGCTGCCTTTCGACGCACAGGAGGTTCCTCTTATCGTGCCACGCAATTTGCCACCAGAGGAGCTTACCAATGAAACAATTTTTGACGCCGAGACTGGCTATATAAACTACGATTACGATGACGACGAAGGAAACTTCGCTAACTACGACGGGGGTCTGACCACAGCAATGGCTTCAGTGCGCCTCGATGACAACATCGGAGGCGGTTACTATCATAACGCTGTCTAAGACTTGATTCCTGTGATTTTCTATTTCGTAATTTGAACTGTATTTTTGATATTTATATTTATTATTATCTAAAGTTTTGGATTCCGATCTACCTTTATGACATCTAAATCATTCAAAATTTGCCCCGATCTGTTATAATTTATAATTAATCTGATATTTTAAATAATAATTACACTTGCGTCAGACAGATCTAGCTTTAATCTGTGGAGATATTTCAATGTCAATCGAATATGGTTTTGAGCACCACAGAGTGATGTGGTTATCTCGCACTTAATCAAATTTTATTCAAAGTAAAATTCTTTTCTTCGTCATGACTTCAATACTTCTAAAGTTCGTATCTACGTAAGGACTCCTCTCTGAGGTCTTTAGCATGGCCCTCCATGTATACCTGACTTGTTGATGTTCGGTATCTATCTTAATAAGAACTTTGATTCAGTCTGACCATCGTGCTGGAGAACGACTTCGTGCTCTTACGTCTTTTATTATCTTTCCTGTGATCAAGAGTTTCCCCTAATTTTCAGTCTCTTGTCCTAAGTATTGGAGGCGGCTTTTGTCTTTCGTGAGATATTCCTATGGCGTCTTACTCTTAAACGCTACTTACTCAGCACAAAATATTCAGTTTTCCTCAGATAAAGGTGAGCTCTGAAAAGGTGTAATTATACAACTTCAATATAATTATTTCAGTTTATTACTTTTATTATGACTAAGACTTAGGTTAGCACGATTGCAACTTTGTCTTTGTGTGAAAATATTATCACTTTTAATATAAAATCGATGTTTAATGTTCACAATACAAGTAATAGTTTCAGCATTTAATAATATAATGTAGGAGTTAAGGTCTGACCGACGAGCGTACTTTCTGGATCATTGCAAAACGAGAATCGGTTTGAGAAACTGAGGAGCCAGGCTCATAGGCCCTGAGCATTGAATGTTGATAGGTGCGCCGGCGCCACGCGGTCGGCGCTACTCTTGAATGAAGGGACTAACGTTTTGCTCGTCACAATGACGATCTGCGGTTAAAACCGCCCTTAACACCATGACCTGGAGGTTCGCTCGACGGTCGCGACCTTCAATTTGTGTCTAATATAATCAATACGTAGATGTTTTCTTTAAAATAATAATAATATTATGACAGAACAGAAATGAATGGAAATGTGTTTTATGCGTGTTTGCTATTTGCCGAATTAAGGAGAAATTGAATCCCAAAGCTGACTGAGAACTGACTGACATATCAACGACCATGCCAGCCCTCAAGTTTGGAACGTGTTGGTTGTGCATAAGAATGCTTTAACAGGGTACTTTTGGAAGAAGGATTTTGGAAAGTTTTCAAACGGTCTAATATTATAATAATCTACTTTGGAAATATTCATTAAGTGTTAGTATTTATGTCATTTACTATTTATTGTATTGGTAAGGATAAAACATGGTATTATAGTACCGAAAGGTACCCAAAATTTTTGAAAATGTATTATTAGTGTGTAGTCATTAGTCAAGCAAAGCTGACTTTGTAGTAATAGTCATGCTTTTATTGTGGTGTAACTATTAAAAATAAAGGCACATAATGTTGTTTTATTTCCAAATCGATCACCCTTTTATTTATACATTACGAATAATATACTACGTACTTAATTATTTTCCTTGTACCTACATGCACTTTCAGTCATCAAACGACTACCTACTATCAAAACACAAGTGACAACAAGTAATGGCATAATGCAATGTAATACCACACAACACCGCATGACAACAAATGTAACAGCATAACACCTATGAAGTAACGTTACACAAAATAACAGAATACAGCCTACTGTAGACAGTGTTAGGACACTGCATAATAACGTAGCATAGCAAAACTCCGCGTAAGAGCACGCAATTGACGCAATAGCGATATCATATCGTATTATACCACAGAACAATAAAAACTATTCCATGTTCATATTCCATGTCCACTAGTTTTTACTATTCCATGTATTAAATTATAGCTATGCATTAGGTGACTGCGTAACAAGTCATAGCATAAACTCAGCATATTACAACGAAACGCTACCTAAATATTACAGCACAGAATTACATATAACGCTGCATAATCTGTCAGAACAATGTTATGTACCTATAAACAAAATAGCACTATATACCACAACCCAGCACATTAAAACTTAACTTCGCATAACACAGCATAACAAAATAAGATGACATTATAACACATAATATACTCAACACATACAGTAACATAACATCTCTTATCCTCAACACATCATAACATACCACAATAAGCGCAACAAATATAAAGCAATAGGCTGCATAACACAACATACACAATCTCTATACCTTCGCATATTAGCATAACGCAGCATAACAATATCACATATCTTGAAATGGGTTTGGGTATATTTAAATTAGAATTCACTTTTCACCCGTTACCTACGATAGTGAAGTGGATTAGATAACAATCATTACTTCAAATCATACTATGGGGTTCATCCATTATCTATCCTTTGAAGTGAACACACGTGAACAGGTGTCTACAGCAAGAGAAATATTTTAGAACATCCTCCATGGATCTACAGATTCTACAATTCAAGGCAGTTAGGAATGTTGCTTGGTAAGTTAGATTTATGTCGAATGAGACGTTGGAATGATACCAGTGCGATTAGCTAGGTACTCTTGGAAATAGGAAATTAATCTTTTTGTTACACTTTGTCACAACAGTTACACTTAAGTTATTTTTATAATATCTTCCTATTTAGTATTTTTAATCAACTTCAGATAAGGAGACGGTTATCTCTATCTAAGGTATAGTTTTTTTTTAGGACTACGTACTTACCTATGGACTGCCTCATTGGCCGAGTGGTCGCAAGTGCGACTGCCGGGCAAGGGGTCTCGGGTTCGATTCCCGGGTCGGGCAAAGTATTACTGGGGTTTTTTAAAAATCTCAGTAGTAGCACGGAGTCTGGAAATGTGCCCGGTATATGGCAATAGGCTCACCCCCTATTACATGGGACTCATAACATAAATAGTGAAAAGTGGGTGTTACTTCTATGTTCACCTCTGCCTACCCCTTCGGGGATAAAAGGCGTGATGTTATGATGATGATGATGATGTACTTACCTATGGTACACATGGTATGTGTCCTCATATTTTTTATATAAAATAGAGAAGTTTTTAAAAAGCTTTTTACGGTATTATTAATTGAAATTCACATCTTTTCATGATGGAGATGAGATGTGTAGGAATATGTTTGTGAAATACCTCATAAACCTAGTAAACATATTCTAGCGCCATCTACGTAGCAAGCCGCATACTTTTATTCTGCCCACATTTGCAAGGTTTTCCGATTCCCGTTTCATATTTGCGTCCGTTTGAGTTATTTGTCTCGCAGCATAGATGCCGCCACATTACCCATAATGAATGAAATTACAAGAACAAACGATTCGTCTTGTTGAGTACTTACAATGAAGAAATGTCGGTAGTTCCTCGATCGCCTATAATGTCCTACTGGATATACTTACTGACTCCCTGTATAGAATATAAAAGAACTAACCGACCACATCAAGCAAACCGGCAGATTATTTCACATCAGAGACACATGAAGTATGTACACTATCAATTTCTGTCTAATTGGAGCACTGAAAAAAAAGTTGTGCTTAACAATTTAAAAGAACTGTCGACTCCCGCTACTTCTACCGGTGCAAAGACTCATCAGCCAAGAAAAAGGGTGGGATGGATATGTTTGTGGACCATAATCCCCGATCTTGTTTGGCGTTTAGGGATCACAGTCAAGGGGCGGCCTGGCGAGTTGTCGTTCGGCGTGGATAACTTTCTACAGCAGTGGAGTAGATGGCTTCCGACGTCTAATAATGAAATGACGATGACAATTTGAAATTAGTAGAGTTTTTTTCGATATTTCGGCTTTTAAATCAAACTACTTAACATTTATATTAATGAAGAAAAGTCGTAGAGACTAGAGAGTAAATTCAAATATGGTTGTGTTAGCTATGTTGGTACTAGCTTTTGACCGCGACTTTTTCCCGGCTCTTAAACTATCGTTGTAACCTTGTACAGAATTTCTCTCAAATATGTGCAGTGGTTTAAGTATATCCACTCCCACTGAGTGGATATACAAAGAACAGTTTGACAAAAACAGATACAGATGTTCTATATCAATTTTGGTCATGAGTCTGCAATGACAACCAGGCTGTCGCTGTGCTCCTCGAGTGTGTGCAATGATAGCAATTTACGTGGCCTCGCGACCTTACCGAAGCAACCATGTCGGTCCGGTCAGCACCTGAGTGAGTCTTAAAGAGACCCGCTCCTCTCTCATAAGTACCTAATTACTATTACTACTGATAAGTTGTGAGTACCTAATCCTATTGATAATAACTTTTAATTTCAGATATACGTACAACTAGGCGTACGACATCTGTTACCTCTAGGCGAGCCTCTATTATGTATCGGAGCATAGACGTTTTATTGAAACTTCTTGTGTCAAACGAACTTTCGTTTTGTTTATTATGTCTTTCTTTCAGAAAAAATCCTTTATATCTGTCATTTCCACCTAAGATTGACATTGTCCGTACTTGTCTAATTATTTAAGTATTTTTTTAGGAATATATTGTTTATTGTTAAGATTTTAATAATGATTCATAGTCATCCTACGTCGATATTTTGTATAATAGCGACAGAGTTTTGTGAACGATTCTCCTTCTGCGGCCTGAGGAGTACGTATGTTTGATTGGAGTATTATGCCCATTTTATGCATTTGTTGGGTACACCGTAGTTCAGTATTCAGTAGGATCTTTATAATCACTGCGTGGTTGAGCGACTGAGCGTGCCGACTGCCGACGTCGACGTCGGATCTTAGGTACCCACGCGAATTTAAACTTTCCACGAGATGATGCGCAGGTAACGAACCGAGAAGTTTGTGTGAGGTTTCCCGCTTTATAAATGTAACGAAAGTAGGTTAACACATGCATTACAAAATACAAAAAGTAGACATGAAGTAGATGCCTGTTTAACACGTAAAGTAATCTAACAGCATACCTTTCAATGACTGAAAGGGTAATCAGGTCCATGAACTAATTGTAAAATGGCACCCCGACTTTGCAGTTATTTTATGACTTCCGATTCCAAGTAATATCTAATAAATACTAAAAGTAACTTAGAGATTTATAAATATTATGCAAGTAGGTACTCTTAATTCTTACATAGGAAGTCATATCCTATCAGTAATACATTTAGTTACAGGTATAAAAAGAAGTCAACATTATCATGTTAGTCCCTGAAAAGTAAGTAGGTAGATATGCGGATGGAGTAGAAAGCTATATTTTCAACCAGAAAGCTATATTTTAATACGAGCTGTTTAGGTTTTCTTTACTTACCCATATTCACAGTTACATAAAAATTAAAACCCTGAAAAATGTAGGTATATTGAATTTTACCCAAATGTCAGCGGCTATAAAAGATAGGGCCCGTATTTGTTTATACGTCGCCCGTCCATGGCTAATTGCTTAAGCAGTTAGCTCGGATGTGTAACTGGCCTGTATTTTTTCAGATCCAGTAAATATCTGAATCCTATTATGTAGGTACCTAGTTGTGATATTTTGCGTCTTCATTTACAGTCTTTAAACCTACATCCATCTGTTTCTATTCGCAGCTATCCTATCGCTATATTTAAGGAACGTGCTATGTCTCCACGAGAACGCTGCGACAGTAGTGTATCACATATTTATCATGATGTGTTATACCATGCCGTTGATGGGCGCCATATTGGCAGACAATTTCATCGGAAGATACAGGTATTTAAGGCGAAAAGTATAATTAATAGCTTCTATGGAAAATCGACAGATATGTAATTACGGAGGGAGTTAGAGTTTTTATTGAGGTGAGTATATCATCCAATGACTGCAGCCTTGGGTTAGGTGAGGAGTGTCAGACTCTTACCGACTATAAACCACCCTGGTCCTATTTTTGCTCTTCGAGCCGGAGCCCCGTCAACCCCTTAGGCTTTCCGCGGCTCCGTATCTGGCATCAACCCTACTGGGCCCCATCTGTGGTGTTCTGATGGCTCTTGAGGTGCGCGGTAGTTGGGTTGCTAGATAAATTAAGTTTAAGTAAAAGAATGGTGTTATCTTTTAATATTTGCATATTTTGCTAAACAAAAAGTCATAGTAATACTGTGAAAAAGTTCTTCACCATAATTTCAGTGCAGTGATTCTTAAAGCAGCATTGCCATTAACAAACAAGGTGCATAATATTGTTCATTCGGAATAGATAAAGGCTAAATCCTAATGCAACGAATAAGTAAAATTTTCATATTATAACTTTCTAGAGACATACTAAATTGTTTATCATGTTTTTTAGCTTACTCACGTAATTATTTGACGAGGACTAGTTTCAAGCCATGCTCATATTCATGAACAGCATTCCGCGATCCGCGATGCGGCGACTGTCACGCTGGTACTATAGTCGAGGTCCTCGTCAAATAATTACGTGAGTAAGCCAAAAAACATAATAACTTAGTAACATTTTGTTTATAAGGCTTGCAGCTCATTTTCCGTACATAAAGTTTGGCTTAAGCGCTTTACTTAGTTGCGTGTCTATGTAAGCTAAGCTAGCTAGCTAGCTTACAAGCAAGTACGCAAGCGTGTTGTTCTTAAATTTCATAGCTTTAAGTTCCATAGTCGATAAACATTACATTCTCAATGATAAGGCTATGAATTGTAAAAGGATATCTTTCTCGGATTTGAAATTGTGCCATATTCGCGTAATACCCTGAATACTGTATACCTTCTATGTGTGCAGTCGGTTACTACACATTCTGTGCAGTATTAAGCCCATTCAGATTAGATTCAATTGCCAGAAGGTACCGGTATGTTTGTTTAGCCTGTCAAGTATAAGAGCTACAGGATGAGAGCTGCCATTGTAGATAACAAGGAGATTCTAAAGCCTGTCCAGCTTTCCTGGTATTTCACTAAATGCATAGACAGATAGTCAGAATCTAATTTCTCAATTTGCCATATGTAATCAATACAAGACAGAGTAAACAGTGCAAGGTAATGTAAATTAATGATATTTTTTCCAGGGTGATATTATATTTTTCAATAATATACCTAATCGGGACGGTGCTGACTTGCTGTTCTGCGATACCGCCGCTTATGTTACCTCCAACGTGAGTTTATTTATAATTTGTTCGCGGATATTGCCTATTAATGAAAAGAAATATGGAACAGAAATTAATTTGATCTTTTCCCTTTATGCGTGGTGAAGCACATTTTATAAAATAAATTAATGAAAATGATAATTGTTACTAAACGTCTTTATCGCACCAGGTTATCGCGGTACATGGCAATGCACTGAATATGTTGGAAAACATATTCAATTCGGACGGCGAGTCCCGCCGATATTGCTGAATAAAATATGAAAAGTCCATAAAGTACATGAGAATAGGACCACATTAAATTACATTATTAACGTCCTACTATTATAAATAACGTCCTGCAATGATAAATGTTCAAGCTTTTATTTATCAACAAAGACTATTAAAACTCCCATCGATAAAGTCCACTTAAAATTGGAAAACAAACAAGCAACTGCAGAGAGCTTAGGTAAACTGATACAAAATTCAATACGGCTGGCAGCGGCAGTGGTGTAAGTCTAATAAAGTTGATAGTGAAGTACCAATTATTTTCCTAATTCCGATACCAGACTGTCAGAGTATCAGGCACAAGTATCGGGGTTTTGACCAATTGGTTGTTTTAAATTTTAATTGGTGCCAATTGGGTACTTGCCAACTAGTCAAATTCAATCCTTTTTTCCAATTGTCAAAATCGCCAGTTTTCTATGAATTTTTTGTACGAGATTGTGTATTATCACGTTTTTCTAGCGTCAAACAGCATACTTATTTGTTAAAAATTTGCTGGAACAGAACTAAAATTAAGTTGGTCATAAAATCAATTAATAAAAGTGTGATTGTTTTTAATATATTTGTTTTAAATATAAAGTCGAAATAATTTATTTTTGATTAACCCTTTGAGTACCGTCATTATAGACACAATTAAAGAACAATAGGTTGCGATCACCGGTGTCCTCGCGGTGTTTGACAGTTTAAGGCAAGTACCCAATTTTGATGGTATGGTTAGAATGTAGTGTTTTGGTATTAAGTAGGGCTGTGTGCCACGACGCGACTACTTTCCATTTGTTACAAATATTTGTTCAGCTTACGATTTGGTCTGCGACGTCGACGCCTACGCACGCACCCCCTGTAGAAGGTTTCACTGTTTAATTTGATGTCACTAAAATTTGAAAAAAATATTAGTTTGAGAGGGTTTATTTGTCATTTCACTTAATGATGAATTTACAGGGTGGTATTCCTTATGCAAAACTTGTAGAAACAAATCCCGTCTTAACCCTGAAATCTATGTCGCTGGTATAGGTGTCGATTGCTTAGATGTGTATTTTTTTTTAATAAATAAATATTTCGATGTAAATAAAACAAACAATTGACTTCAACATTAAGTGAAGTGGAACAGCGCTTCCCGAGCTAACTTTGATAAAACTTCAGTCGAGCTGCTGCCGACGTAGCAGGACCTAAGATTATACTCTTTGCAACTTTTCCCACTTGTTTCATTTTTCATCATACTTCGACTTAACACTAAATAAACTGTAACAAAGTGCAGACTTACATATTAATTTTTATATCGAAGCGCTTACCTTCCGCTGCGGTGTTACGGCATCGGACTTGCTTGAAAATTCCAATAGAATATTATAAAAGCGTGCTTACTTTCACAATTTGTTTTTTGGATTAACTTGTCGGTTTTTTTTCATTGGGGAAATCATTAAATGACTTCTCCCGCCTGGGTGAGGCGGGAGGGATTGTCAGACTCTTACTGACTAAAACCACCCCGTTCCTACTCCTGCACTTAGAGCCGGAGCCCTGGTAACCCGTTAGGTTCTCCGCGACTTCGAATCGGCATCAGCCCTATTGGGCCCCGTCTGATGGCTCTTTGAGGCGCGCGCGGAACGCGACGCGCCGCACGCTCAACTTGCCGGTTTACGAGTAGGTACTTTTGAGGGTTTGGAGTGTGTTGGAAATTATATTAGGTACCCAGCTATGTTCTGTGACGTGGATGACATTTTAACTTTCTCCTTTAAGCTAGCAGCCGATGCAGTAGTGTCTGTATTTGTGTAGTGTGTGGGAAGTTGGTACAGACGAGTCTGCGTGGGATTAATAACATTCGCGTAACTAACCAAGTCATTGAACTTTGTACTATTTATTTATTTTACTTTCATTCATGATCGTCCCACTGCAGGGCAATGTATGTATGTACTATATATGCTGTACTCCTACAAATATCATTTTAGATATGTGAGCTTGTATGGTGTAAAACACACTCACCTCACAGTAGAAAATCCTAGTGTGAGTAATCAAAGTTTTTTAAGAAAAATAAAGAAATAAGTAGAAACATGATTTATTATTATTAACAGCTACAAACAGCGGCTTCATCCGCGTTACCCATCCAGAAAACAACCCTTCCTACAGTCTGCAATAAAGTTTTGTTTAATAAGAAAATACCATTCAAATATGCCTCTAGCAATCCCATCTAAAATAAACTAACGTCATTTTATTAATATGATAAAACGACTGACTTTGTTAGTATACAACAAATACATATGGCGCTACGAGTTACAAACATATTTGAGATATTTTGTTTTGATACATTATTTTAATAACTTCTTGAAACTTTCGCATTTATAATAGTAGGACGTTAATAATGTAATTTAATGTGGTCCTATTCTCATGTACTTTATGGACTTTTCATATTTTATTCAGCAATATCGGCGGGACTCGCCGTCCGAATTGAATATGTTTTCCAACATATTCAGTGCATTGCCATGTACCGCGATAACCTGGTGCGATAAAGACGTTTAGTAATTTCATCCTAGATTAGTCAACATTAAAAACATTTGTGAGAAGTTATAAACAGCGATCCACATAAACATTGATTTCTCTTCCTAAACACTAAATAATATAACTGTAATAACTAACTACGTAACTAGAAGCCTTAGTACCAGAGTGCCAAGCACGAATAACTATCGCATTCATAACGTAATACGCTCGATACTCGAGCGCATTCGGCACTCTGATTGGCCAGCTTCAGTGAACCAACTAATCACAGCCAATCCAGATAATATAACGTTACATATTTGTGCTTGGCACTCTGTTTGTTTTACATTAAAAGTAATCGAAACGAGACTGCATTCGGCGGTCTGATTGGTTGATTCATTGGAGCCGGCCAATCAGAGCGCCAAATGCTTACTCGTTTCGATTACTTTTATCGTAAAAAAACTCGTAGTAAGGCCTCTGACACAGAAAGTGTAACTGACCGATACGGTTTCTACGATGTGACAATTACGTTTTTGTTACAGAACGACATCAATGATTGGGTTGTTGCTCATTGCAACCGGCACGGGCGGCATCAAACCATGCGTAGCTGCATTCGGAGGTGACCAGGTACATAGAAACTATACAAAGGATCTTTTATGGCATTTGTAGTCAATGTTGACCGACGCACTAGCCTGAGGTTTACCTTCAGAAGTTTTCTGTCAGCAATGATGATGTCACCATCATCAGCCAGCATTGCCAATAGACGTTCCCTGCTGAACAAAGGCCTCTTCCTTGCGGGACACAATAACTGAGTAAAATAAAACTACTGTTCACTTTATATTACCTTCCAGGAGTTCCAGGCCTTGTTAAGTTAGAAAAAACTGCTAAATCTATATATATAAAAGAAAGTTGTGTTAGTTACACTACTTATAACTCTAGAACGGCTACATCGATTTGGATGACAATTGGTGGGGAGGTAGATTAGAACCAGGAGACGGACGTAGGATACTTTTTTTTTACTTTTTACCAAAAATCACGAACGGGAACGGGAAAGAACGGGATTGCGCGTACGAAGTCGCGGGCAGAAGCTAGTATTATATATATATAATATGTCTCTAATAACAATCTCTTTAAGCCTTCGACTAAATTTTAGCGCTGCAAAAGCAAAGTACAGAAAGTCGTAGATCTTGCGCTTGATCGCTTTCCGGTCGTGTCGTGGAATACGCTTACATCGTATCATGAGAGTGAGGGCGCAGTAAAAGAGAGAATATTTAACGGACTTATATATTCATTACAATATCATCTCCATCAATTGCTTAAGTTTCTTATGACATATGAGTTTATATCAGTGTTTCTTCTTTAATTAATGAGTTAGAAAATGCATCTACACGAAAAATATGACGGGTCATAGTAACGTACTTGTAACTCCCCTACTGCTACGAGTTTTCATCTGCGACTGTAATTGCTTGACAACAGTCGCCTAATTTGTCCCATATCTTGTAAACAATGTACGAGTAATATTTCTATAAAACAATAATCTCTTTATTTTATTGTAACTCAATACTATACGTTTTACAATGTTCGTAGCAACGTGCTACGAGAGGTTGCTACGAGAATGCTACGAGAATTGTTACTAAGAAATTCATTTCTAGTGTGCTCTTTAATCGTGTAACTACGAGCTTTTCTATATATCCAGTACATTGCCATTTATGTGTGTATTTTAAGTAGGTATTGGGTACTGTTAAGTATTAAAGTTTTACTTTAAAGACAGTGTAGTGGACTAATGGGTGAACATTGCCATCAAGCGAGAGCAATGTTTTCCAAGTTAAAATTGAGTTTTATTTTGTAATCGGCGGATTGGTTTCTAATGGACACTTACTTAAACAGTACCACGAACATTATAAAAATTGTTAATGGTCATTTACTTCAATAATTGAGTAAAAAGATAATCAAGATTGGGAAATTGGTTTTCGGTTATACAAAAAAAAAAAAATGCTATTTAACTGTCTCATTGATCGTAACGACTGTCAGTCACGCGTGTTGGCAATGATTTTCGATTAATTAGATTAGAACAGAGATGAGTTTTTACACTTTTAAATATCGTAAAGTTAAGAAAAGTTCTGTAAATAGATTTCCTAGAAGCTCTTTCTAAAAGTCCATTCTATAAGACTAATAACATAGCTGGCCAAAAGTGTAATCATCCCCAATGTATGTATGTACACACATTCTGTACCAATTATTTTATTATTCACAAACGTCAGTCTTCACTTTTCAGCCTTGTGGTTATATTTATTTTCAAATTATACAACTTACGGTACAGGAATAAGAAAACCGGGCCATTTTTCTCACTTCCCGTACAAATGTTATTCTAGTTTATTTTAATTGGATCCTTGTCACAACGTAGTCCGCAGAAATAGCACGTATATGTGTGCTAAAGAGGCTTCGTCGCGAATACGTGACTTGAAAACGTAAGAATAAAGATTTAAGTGTTGTATTAAAGAAACAAAGATAAGTATCTGTTACTTGTTTTCTTTTATCTATTGTGACTTCTTCTATTTACGTTTGTTAAAATAATAACTTGATTCCTGTTATTTCTGCAAAGTATTTGTTTTTGTCACGCCCACTGCGCTTCAGTTAGTTTTTTTCATTTAGTTTCGTGTAACAGAGGAAAAGGTTGATTGGACGTTGACCCCAGATTCTTTCTATATTTTAGCAGTTGCATTTATGATCACTTGACTAATTTAATGAGGGAATTGTTTATTTAACTACACAGGATGTGTTTTTTTAGGTATAGTAAGTTATTTTTAACTGTTATGGAAAAACCTCGATAGAAATAGGCAATGCTATCTAATACCCTGTTGCAACTCGCATTTATAAGACATGAGAGTAAAACTGCAGGAAAGAGCTAGTTACTTTTATAGATACTAGAGCTGCTTGGGATGTTGCCGATACTCTCATTTTATTTGATAGCCGATGTTTTTGATTGCTTCCGTTTGCTGTTTTAATGATAGTGAAATAACAGTTTTAATTGGATTTAAAAGCAGATCTCTAGAACAATCTGTTTGTTGCAATCATATAAAATAATATTAGGTTTTTATTTTACTAGATTGTATCTTTACTAACTTTATTAGTTTTTACTAATCACGGGACCACAGGATGCCGGTCATTTGGGAAGGGGTACGAGGGGCCGAAGCCAAAAGCACAGAGGCCGTTTAGACAACTTTAACCTAAATATAATTAGAGACAAACCGGTGACTATCCCGTATGCACTATGGAAATGTAATTAATGTAATTATAAATTACAATTGTTCAGTAATTTAAAAAATTAAATTACTATTGTCATTATAAGTTTCTGGACTTTTTAAAGATGGCTATGCAATTAGATTGTAAATGTGCTATGTATTTTTTTGAGTAAAAGACTTGAAGGTAAGCGATCAGACACTCGCATAACCAGAGGCGTTACAAGTGCGGTGCCAGTCTTTTTAGCGTTAGGCGTTCGGTGACCTCACTCACATGATGAAACATATTAAGTACTAGCTATCCGGCTCCTATTGATCATAGTGTGATGTTCTATAGACTATAACCTCCCTAGATAAATACACTATCCAACACAAAAAACAATTATTCGAATCGTACCAGTAGTTCCGGAGATTAGTTCGTTCAAACAAACAAACAAAATCTTCAACTTTATAAGTAAGAATAAATAGTAAGAAAAAAGTAAATAAGATTTCACGCTGGTTTCTTTCAGTTCCGTTTACCAGAAGAGAACCAGTTACTTCAGAAGTTCTTCTCCACCTTCTATTGTACTGTGAACCTGGGTGGGTTCATGGGAATGGTGGTCACGCCGGCGTTGCGCAGGAGTGTCATGTGTTTTGGAGATGATGCGTGCTACGCGCTAGGATTTGGATTCCCTGCTTTACTTGTGCTTATTTCTATTGGTTGGTATTTATTTACTCGACTATGATGAAGTAAAAAATTAGGGCAATAATTTTTTTTTTATCGGGTGGACTATATGGACATGTGTTTCTAATCAGACGTAATTTCATGCTGTTTTGGAATAACAAAGGATGTGTTTTGTCAGTGGTGTTATTAGTCGTAGAGGGATTTAGGGTCGTCCGTTATTTTTTTTTTTAAATATAACTATTTTTGTTTTAAATTCCTTTAATAGAAGAATGTTCCCTTGTTTTAAAAAAGTAGGTTGTAGTCAATTTATGTGAAAAGTAATGTCAAGATTAAGAAGTTTACAAGGGGTTGTTACTTTTTACTATAGATATGTCATGTGCTTTTGACTGAAAATTTAACATTTTTGACATTAATTTATAGAAATTATAGGTTTTCAATATCATCCAGGTACTTAGGTCCCTGTAGACGAGTAGTAAATCTTTATTGTTTATTAAATAAATCCCTTGTGTCCAGTGATATTTGTTGCGGGCAAGCCATCGTATAGAATAAAGCAGCCACGTGACAATGTGACGCTCAAGTTCATTTCCTGCGCTTGGGTAAGACATTTATTATACTCAACCTATAACCTGCCCTCTATTGTCTCAGGACGATACCATTAGAGTGACAACGGGGCTAGCTGACGTTGTGGATCGTAGTAATAGTAGACAGTTATAACATAACATCACGCCTTTTATCCCCGAATGGGTAGGCAGAGGTGCACATTACGACACTTAAATGTCACTGTACAATGTAATACCCACTTTTTACTACTTAATATTTATGTTATGAGTCTCACGTAATAGGGTGTGAGCCTATTGCCATATACCGGGCACAATTCCAGGTATATGGCAATAGGCCAAACGTGTCAACGGGTGCCAATACTATTAATATTTTGCCCAAACCGGGAATCGAACCCGAGACCAGCAGTCGCCTTTGTGAACACTCGGCCAACGAGGCAGTAGACAGTTATGTAGTGTATATTTATTAAAATGTTGTTCAAGTTTAAAAGTTGGCAATTCTTAGGTTGTAATTGCGGTGTTTGCAATATTGTATCTAATGAAAAATGGCTGTAGAGTATATAGTATAGAATGACTTGAATTTGAAGTAGAATTTTCTTCTATGTTTTTTTTAATTTCTGTTATGGTTTCATGAAATGGCTGTAAAATATCTGTTTACTTACAACGCTAAATTTAAAATAAATTTATTAGTAAGGTAAGGCTTTTTGGACTCCTTGGTATTCCATTTCATGGCGTTACATTAAAATTTGCACCTCAGCTTTCCCTTTCATGGAAATAGTAATATGTTGTTTCGATGTTATCTGAATTTAAATAAAAATCTACGTCAATAATATTTGAATATCTCCCGCGAAGCCCTGACAAATGTAGTTCCAAATATACGTTCATTCATCTTCGAATACGATATCATAAATGTATTGGAATTCAGTACTGACGGAGTATACTCAATGATACTGGAGCCTTTAACATATGCTCGACGCGATGTCGCTGAGATGCACTTTGTCACGAATATCTCACATGCCTTGTGACGGTACTATCAGCCAAGTTATTTGATATGTAGGTACAGGCAAGAAAACTGAGATTTATTCATTTTTTTGAGGGAGGAATGTCATCCAGTCTTTGAGAGTCGCCTTGAGTGAGGCGAGAGGGAGTGTCAGATTCTTACTGACTAATAACCACCCCGTTTATTTTCCTTCGAGCCGGAACCAAGGTAACGCATTAGGCCATGCGGATCCGTCAAGATCGATTGATTTAGACATCGTTACAAAAGATATGCGTTATAGTTTCTTAGTTTATTTATTGTCTATTAACTTGCCTGAATGTTGGAATGTGAATATCTTTACTGAATAATCTTACAATGGAACGCTGTATATATTGTGTTCCTCAGTTCAGAATCACAACGGGTCAGCGTTTGTGTAAAAAGTTTGGAAACACATCCCTCGTCGATAACAAACACACTCAACTGTTTCGTTATCTACAAAAACAAAACAAAATGTTTGTGCTCTTCCTGAATGCCGAATCTAAAAGGTTTATTGGTTTAAATGTACAATTGTTAAACTCATGTTTCCGAAAATAAATGTTTTGTTTGAAAAAGATCTGTACGGATTTGTTTGACTGATACTGTCGGCCAAATGTTTTCATAGAACGATTACTCCCTAAGCTTTTCAATTTACTCCGGCTGGCTCCATGGCAGTTTTTACTCCTATTTTACTTTGAAACAATTAAATCAATAGAAGTAGAAGTTTATTCCTTTTGTAAATAGTTGAGGTAAGTAGATTGTACTTTAAATGTTTTAGTAAAAGTACGCTTTTAGTAAGGAGTAAGATAGTCGTTCAATGTTGAAATTTCCGTAATTGTAACTTTATGAGAAGAGCAAGTTCTGTTTACACAATCGTATGGCACCAGGCACTAGTTAAGCATTCAGTGCGTAAGACATGAGGTTGCACTAGTACTGTACCCTTGACTTACGCGGCATGCAAACGACAAGTAACCAAAGAGAATGCCAATAAAGAGCACATATAATTTATCGATGTGACGTTTTAAATAGTAGTAGGTCTTTAAATATTCCAAAGCATATCAAACCAACTAGATAGGGACGCGCATTGAAACAAATTAAGACATAATATTAGTCAGTTAACAGAAAGAACTCATTAAATTAAAATACAAAAAGAATTTCACAGTGACGCTTATGTAATTAAATATTTCCCAAAAATTATAATAGAACAAAAGTAATTATATAGGGATTATTATTTTATCCTTGTTTCTTAATTTATGATTGTTTGTAAGCCAGGACTTCGGGCACGTTACTAGGTTGCTTGTTTTAAAAACAAAAAACAATTATAACTTTTTTCTTGTTAACTGTAGAACGACGAAAGAACTTAGGAAACATTAAACTGTATTCTAATTGTTTCGCAATTAAGTTACTTAAGAAATATTGAAAAAATAAGCTGGCAAGATGCTTCCTCGATTGAGCGGTGTAAAAAAACAAGACTGCTTTTTTATTTGATAAGACGGTAAACGAATAGACGGTTCTCACAGGCGTTACAAGTGCGTTATCGGCCCTTTGGGAGTTAGGAATTTGAGGAATGTCTAGGATTCAGGGATTGGGGAGATAGGGGATGGGGGGGGGGGGGAAGTTGCACAATGCAAGCGTTGTTTCACGTCGGTTTTGTGTGAGGCTGTAGTATTACTCCGGACGAGTCGGCTGATTCGTGCCGAAGCATGGCTCTCCTGCACTTAACTGCTAAGATTTAAACTTTGGCAGTGTTTAAAATACTTTGTTTATTATGTAATTTGTCGCGTAGGTGTGTTACAGTCAATAGTCAACGAAGTAATAATTAAAGAATGCAGTGATCGCCTGTAAACGATTGTAACATTTTACTGTTATCTGATTTAAATGTTTGCTGTTTAATATATTAATGTATACAATTGTTGGTGGGCCAATAAAGATAAAAAAAAACATAGTGAAACTGCTTCGTTGGTCAAGTTAATGCTGAGTAAGAAGTCTCAAATTAAGCAAAGTATTATTAAGGTTTGAAAAGACGATGTAAATGCAGTTTTGAATAATCAGAGAAGTGTTTGTCTGGTTCCTTTTCAAGTGGAACATTAGCTTAAGGATAGTTTGTGACAGAATATTTGTTCCTATTACGGATGGCAATGAACCGTCCGTAATAAGATAAATAATAATAAATAACTTATGTAAGACTTGAACTGATCACAGTATCTTCCATATACATTGTACATACATTGTTAATAGCTCACACAGTAGATTATAGAAATAATCCTCGATCGTAGGCGGTTAGCTATTCCAGGAAGAAAATAATATTCTCTAATGACATCCTCTTTCTAATAATTATTATCATTTCCTCAACTTATTTTAGATTGTTGTAGGTTTTTCAATTTATAGAGGATCTTCTTATTCTTCTATATTCTTAAGGATAGTTGTCTAAAAATCTCGTTGTAAGGCCAAATGGATTACAGTGTGATTACCAAGTAGGGCCCTGGCCACACTGCAGCTGTAGCTAAATACCATTTAGCGCTTGTCTACATGTAGAATAGAAAACCAAATTATATGGAATTAACGTAAATTTTGACACTTGTCAGTGTCATCTCCATACATTTTGATTTCTACTATCTCTGTAGACAAGCGCTAAAGTGGCTTTTGGCTAAAGGTACTGGACTGAATAGCAGGTGTGTAGGAATGTTGCTCAAGATTAGCATGCTCATTTCAGGCATGTTTACGAATTATGTCAAAATATTTAAACGCCACTTAATTTTACGTCGGCTTAAGTAAGTATCTATAGTTCTGCCAGACAAGATGGCCTGATATTTAAATACAATTTAAAATTGAGTAGTTCAGTATTCGGGCATTAGCATGGTATTTTAGAGCATGTGCAATAGTGCCTGTATGGTTATAGGATAGCTCTTTGCATTGTTCTCACATATGCGTACAGTATTGGAATATGTATAAGAGACATTGTAGAACAAACTTTTTTAAAAAGAGTATCGATTGGATTTACTTGCTCGTTCTTCTCCATTCGAATCTACATTTTGGAATGAGCACCTAGCTTCACCTAGCTTTACTGACGGACTGAATGACAGACTATTAATTATTTTGTATTTGTTGACGTTTCAAAAGTACCAAAATATGGTTTAATTGAAATAAATGCTTTGACTTTGACATTGCTCCTATCCTGTACTCCTATTACATAGGATTCATACATCAACAATAATGTACTACAATGTACATGTTATTCGAATAGGGTTTTTACTATCATTTTTTAACCAAAAATTGTGTTCTGTAATTTCTGCTTCGTTTCATTACAAATAGAAATGCAGGTTTTAGTTTCTGTACTACAAATAGGCTGACCGACTTAAGTATTGGTCGTTTCCAATTAGGTTCTGTGGTCAACAATAAATAGGGCGAGCTAATAAATATAGCTGCAGTTACCTTATTTTCGTTAAGCCAACGATACAGCTGTTTTTCCTTACCGACTCGTAGTCACACCAGATTATCACACCAGTATGACAAACAGGATTTTTTTTCTCGTTTGTCACACCACTTATTTTTCTACACTATGTATACGATAATTACTAGTGCAGTACCTTTACATTCCAATAAAGTCGATCGGCGTTTGCCGTCTTTCGTTCTTTGGCGAGTTTTTAATATTTTCTACTTTTAATTAATAAATAGGTAACATAACATAACATCACGCCTTTTATCCCAAAGGGGTATGCAGAGGTGCCCATTGCGGCACTTAATGCCACTATACAATGTAACACCTACTTGTTCACTATTTATATTATGAGTCCCATGTAATAGGGGGTGAGCCTATTGCTATATACCGGGCACATGTCCAGACTCCGTGCTACTACTGGGATTTTTAAAAACCCAGTAATACTTTGCCCGACCCGGGAATCGAACCCGAGACCCCTTGCCCGTCGCACTTGCGACCACTCGGCCAACGAGGCCGTCTAAATAAATAGGTACTAAAGCTCTATGTGGATGTCCAGTGGTTCATATGATAATGCAACCTTATCTA